TATTCATCATATTTTGTTATCATTGTAACTAAGAGGGATCGCTGTAGTTAATCCAAAGACGCCATTATATACACGAATGTAATGCAAAATTTCCTCCCTTTCATTTCCTCTATGTGTTTGCATGAGAATCGTATGATTTCTACGACAGGGACATCTACTTCCGATCTGAACAATAGAGTAAGTTTGCTGACCACATCTCTTGAAAAAGCAGCAAAATCTTCTCCATGGCCTTCGTCGTCCCTCAAAATTTGAAATGCTTATTACGAGAGTTGATAGTAACAAAACAAAATCTTATTGATTTTTTTTGCTACAAAGAAATCAAATTTTTATTTATTAGTAGCGTGGCTGTTTAAATTAGTGTGTAAAGATAAATATTTTTTATGAACTGCTAAATACATTGACCCTAAATATCTTGGCGAAAACGTAAAACATCTTTTTAGCTAAAAATGCATGAAATTATAGGCATCTGAGTTTGTGGTGATATATTTCAAATAACTACAACTTTTTGTGAATTAACAAAAATATAATAGAAAAGGAGGAAAATACCTGAACATATTTATATCAGAAATAAAACAAAAATAACAAATTTTATATTATGAACATTTCCTTGTACAAGAAACGTTATTCAATTGAGGATAAAGCATGATCATTCAGGATATAGTGTCAAATATTTAAACAAACAAAAATGTTTTGCAGAATATAGATGGACAGTTATCAAAGGACTTTGGAACTGAATTGTCTTAAAGTTCGTCATCTGTCTTGCTTTGTCGGACCCTTGTAGGTCATTTTCTTGTTGCTCTGTCTTCCTTTAAGACATTGAGTACCTTTGTTATGGTCATTGGGTTTACTTTTATATTAATCAACATAATCATTTTTGTGTTCTACTAATTTCACCTTTTGTAACCATAACAACTGTTAGAATTCGCTTGGTGGAGATTTATTTTAACAACAATGTCTCGTTTAATGGAGCATGGTTTGGTGCACCATTAACCGGTTTAAACTTCACAGCAGTGCTGATGCTGCTGATCGTTCCAATGCGCGCTGCTCTGTCTTTGTTGTTTCATGCTGTTTTGGTGACACTTTTGTTTGTGTCCCTTGTTGTTTTCTCGTCTACGGTAAGTATTTTCCCTTTTGCCCCTTCCCCTTTGTCCTTTTACTTTGTGGGCCTGTCAATCTATCAATTATTTGTATGATTTTGCTATTATTTATTTTTGGGTGTTATTTATGTGATTGTCCTGTCCGTGCTCTGCTTTTTTACCTGTCCTGTTTTTGTTAAGGGTCCTCCGGATCTCCTTGCCGCTGGTTCTTCGGGGTTGCGTTTATTGAACGCTGTCTTTCCTTCTTGATATTGTTTATCTTATTTTCTAATTATATCTATACCGTAAATTGTTCATGTAGGGGCTAACTTAATAAGATGAAATAAACCATTATTGTTTATAAAGTTGTATTGTTATTCAATACTTACCGCGCAATACTTACAGTTTATCTGGGACAAATAGAACTATTTGTAAACAAATCATATGTCATTAATTCACTGCTAATGTGTACATCAGAATCATTTCCTCTCCGATATTACTATTGTTTTCTTTAACGTTTCACTTTAACCAAGAAAGTATGTTTATTATTATTGTTTCTGTATTTCCTCTCACAAGTTAAAACATTATTATTTCGATATTAGATATTTTATGGACATTCAATGATTATGATTTACTGGCAAATGTTCATTCAGTCAGTTTCATTTGTATAATTGGGTTCGTAATTAAAGGCTACACGATCACAACAATAAATCATGTGATTTTTATTCGCACATGGCTTAAATGATTTACTTCCATATCAGTAATCAATTTGTTTATATAAAAGTACGTTCATAGAGCTAGTAACATATATGTGATTATCTTAAAATCCTAATATGTGTAACAACAGAGATTAAATATCATGATATTAATATATTTTTTTCTTGTTGGTGTAACATTGATATTCTGTTTGCCAACAAGTCACTTTATTTAATGACTTTATTTGTTGCAGAATAGTGTAAATGCGCAGGAATATGATCACGAAGGTCAATAGCTCTGAGTGATTGATTGCAAAACATTTGAACGATACACAGTGAATTATTATACTATAATGCGAAAAAAATATACATTTTCCATTCTAACATGCTTATAAAAATATATCGAATAACTCTGAGCGTAGGAGAAATTTTCATGACGTCATTTGGTTTATTTGGTCATATCAGACGTGTAAGCATTCGTTTTGTCTTGCTGGCATATCTTTGAAGTGCCATGATTTGCTACCCTAAGTATTTTCATGATGCTGGCTTGATAACAATTCAAGCTTAATATGTTGAAGAAATTTGACAGATACTTAAAATTCGGTTTGATGTTTCAAAGTATGGAAATGTTTTCTTTCTTTCTCAATGAACATTTGACAAGACTTCGTGACATAAACAGGAATGGTGGGAGTTCTAGGACAGGTATATCTCAATTGCCATATCTGTTTGAGAAGGAAATAATGTGAAGCTTGTTAGAATTTGTGTTTGACCAAAATATCACGAGAGCCAAAAGCCATTCTGTATTATGCTCCCCGAAAATATATGTTACCAACGCTGTACAGCCTTTGACTCTATCTCAATCCCTTGAGAAGTTTCAGCACTTTGAAATAAATTTTGATGGAAAAAATCAAGGCAAAATAGTGATTTTTGGCAATTTTGAGATGTCCCCTCGTTGCCATGGTAACAGGAAATTTTAGACTGAGCATGTCGTTACAAGGGCAATGGTCCAGTCAACATTTGTGCCGGGTTTGATTAGTATTGAAGCATTTTTCATAGTTTCATAGCAGTTTGATCTTGTAACAGGAGGCTTTTCAATGAAAACGGCCATTTTTCACAACAAGCTCATGAGGGAAAGGATTAACTAAAAAAAATAAAAATGTTACAAAACAACAATTTTTCACCAAAATTAGGTGAAAGACAACATGTTAACAAAGAAAAACTAGATTTTGGGTAATTCCAAAGTTTTTCATCATTTTTTGTTAACTAAAAAAATTAAAAATGTTACAAAACATTAATTTTTCACCAAAATTAGGTGAAAGACCACATGTTAACATGGAAAAACTAGATTTTGGGTAATTCCAATTCATCATTTTTGTTAACCATTTACCTCATTTATACGCGAAACAACGCAATTTCGACCCCTCACCCCTCCTCTTTTAGGCCTCAAATAGTGGAAAAATGTCCTATTTGGGCCCCAAACACATATTTCGTTTGAGAAATGTTGCTAAAAAAGTGAGCACTTTTTCGGCGTCTCCCCGCATCCAAAAGATACATCAGGGGGTTGCCAGAAGGGGGATGTGCCCCCTTCTGTTTTGGGGTTTTGAAGGGGGGCGGTAGTCCCCCTAATCGCCAAGAAAATTTTGGACTTGTGAGAGGCTAAAAATGACCACAGATCGATCATAAGGTAACGTGTAACCATCGCTGAAAAGCCTTTGACTCTGACTCAATCCCTTGAGAAGTTGCATCACTTTGAAATAAATTTTGATGGAAAAAATCAAGGCAAAATAGTGATTTTTGGCAATTTTGAGATGTCCCCTCGTTGCCATGGTAACATGAAATTAAGACTGAGCATGTCGTTACAAAGGCAATGGTCAAGTCAACATTTGTGCCAAGTTTGATTAGTATTGAAGCATTTTTCATATATAGTTTCATAGCAGTTTGAACTTGTAACAGGAGGCTTTTCAATGAAAACGGCCATTTTTCACAATAAGCTCATGAGGGAAAGGGTTAATAAATTTATGTTATTAAGATATAACCCGTGTTTATCCTTGCATTTATCATTGTGTTAATTGATGTCGAACCGAAAAAAATAAAAGTAAACAAAAAAATAAAAGTAAAAATATGATATTTATTACGAACATGTTTCAATTTTATGTTCCATACTTTTCCGTACTCATCTGAATATACCATATTTCGTTTAGTGTTATTCATAGAATTTGTATAAAATCGTAATTTATATCGCATATAAATTCGTTTATGTTTTATAAGTAACCATCACCAATTTCTTTAAGATATGTTTTTCAAGCCTATACTGTAACGTTAATTAATATGTTCCATATGTCTAGAATTTACAACTGTATATTTTTTTGATCTTATGACTGCACAATAACAGCAGGAGGCGCGCAAATTGTACACTAGCACATGGGAAGGGAGATGGCTTGGTTTGATTAAGTTGTAATGAATCACGCAAAACCCTTTCATTTTTTGAAATGCGTGCGATTGACAACTTCCATACATTATCTTTTTTTTTAACTGGAATAACATTTGTAGTTAAATACTGCAATAATTATATATATTATATTCTTTTTTCTTCTCTTACCTCCCCTCCATGCACCCACCGGAACTAGAAGCGAGATAAATAACTTCATTCAACTTGGATATTTTGTATTTTAATGTAATGGTTTTTGTATTCTTAATGTATATTTGTGTCATTTATTTCAACGTTTGCTACAATTGGTGGTTTTTGTTGTCCAACTTTGTTTCATCTATTATAACGTTTACCACAATTGTTTTCTATATGAAAGCGTATTTGCAGTTTTTGGTTAATCTTTTGTTTATATTATTATATTTATTCTTAGTCAATGAAGACGTCTGGCTCTGCCAGACATTATCAATCAAACCTTTGTGTTTGTATTTACTCTACTGATTATGACACAAATTTACAGGGAGAAACATGTACCGTGGTAATAGTAAAACATAAATAAAACTTCCGCGTTCCAAGTATTGATTGTAACAACGAACTGTAAACATACAACGGATAGCATATGGATATATACCAGGATAACATAAATAATTTACTATTTTAAATCAGTTTAAATGTTGGTTATTTTATTCTTTGAAGGGTTTAAGCAGTGTTTCGGCCTTCGATACAGTTTAGCTGAATGGGGACCATAATAATTAAATATAAATATAAAATCTAAAACTGGAACACCAACGTCGATAATCAAAAATGGCGGAAAGTGGGGGTACACTACAAGAAGACGAAGAAGTTCCTGGACTTGTCAATGACATTTTGTGTCAGCCATGTTTAAGTAAGGATAAGCAAACTGTAGCTGATAAGTTTTGTTCAACTTGTAACGAATTCCAGTGTACGGAATGTTCAAATGTACATAACGTACTTACTATTCTCAGAACTCACAAATTAGTTAACGCGAATGAAACTGTAGCGAAACAAGATTTGTTTGACATAAAAGGATTAGACCGTTGTAATCAACATAAAAAGATTATAAAATTTTTCTGCGAAGATGAGAATCATCTCTGTTGTAGTACCTGCGCTATAGTTGACCATCGTAAATGTGACAGCGTTGTAGAAGTTCAGAAGCTTGCTGGCAAATTTATGTCTCCAAATTCATTTGTAAAGGAAAAATTTCTGGCTACCAAAGAAAAGGCCGAGGGCATTATTAAACAAGTAATGTCTTCAAATGAAAAATTAGAGCAAGAAGTGAATAAAATTCCAGAAACAATTAATCAAGTGCGAGATGAAGTAAAAAGAATGTTTGACGATTTGGAAGTTTCCATCGTTAAAAAAGTGAAATCTTTTCATGAAGAAACACAAACAAAACTTACAATAAAACAATCGTTAACAGAGAATTATTTATCTGATATAAAATCGCTTTTGGAAACAGTTGATAGCGTTTATAGAAATGGAAGTTCAGCGCAACAATTTATTGTAGAAAAGAAAATGGAAAATGATGCCACTACTCTATACAGAAACGTGAAAGAGATATTTCAAGATTTAGAGACGGTCAGCGTTTCTTTTCATTTTGACAAAACATTAAAGATGCCACCATTTCGAATTTCTGAATACGTTCCGGGACAACTCGCGTTTGAACATCATTATGTTAATAGGCCGATGACACTTACTACTGTTTCTTCTATTGATTTGAAGAAGACTGGAGATGACACAAATGAACCGTTCTTTACAGGAATAGACTTTCTGCCCGATGGAAGACTGGTTGCTGTTGATAATTACAACACAAAATGCATAGTGTATAATGAGAAGCTTGAGAAAGTAGGTTCATATCAGTTATCGCACGTTCCAAAATCTATAGCGGCTGTGTCAGAGGAAGACGTAGTTATAACAAGTAGTAGTGACTATATAATAGAATTTCTACATATTAGTAAATGTAATGAAATTACATCGGACAAAACTTGTAAAGTGAAAACGCAATATGACTCTATATGTTTGAAAGATGACGATCAATTTGCTGTGAGGACTATCAATGACAAAAGACATGTACGCATTGTGTCAATGACAGGAAATGAGAATGATTTCAGTGTTAGCTTTCCTACTAAGAAATATACTATATATGATAGTTCTTGTACATATAATAAAAACAATGACATACTGGTGCTAACAGATAGATACGAACATGCTGTCTATATATATGATACCAAGGCAGACACGAGAGTCGTGGTGAAGGATGATCAGATAGAGGAACCACGTGGTGTAGCAGTTGGTCCTTCTGATACTATCCTGGTTTGTAGTAAAGGAACAAACTCGATTGTACAGATATCACAAACAGGACATATCTTATCATCACACAAGATAGATATGATATATCCGTTAAGAGTATGTGTCTCACGTGATAAATCATTTCTTGTTGTTATAAATAATCATTATAAAAATAAGAAAATGCAGAAATTCAAAATTTCATAAAAAGACAAACCTCAGTCCATTAAAAAATCTATTTGCCTCACAAAACAAGATGTAGTTGATCAGAGATCAAAGTACCATCGATTTAATTGACAAATCTTTCGTTGAAATTATTATGACAATTACAATACATGCATGCTGATTAAATAATTAAATTGGTTAAAGAATTGTGAAAATAAGGGACATTTACACCTAACGAACATTTAATGAAAAAGGCAATGTACAATCAAATAAATTGATATTTACTCCCCCTCAAGTGAATCCAATGTATTTTGTTTTGATTTTGTTTTAAATTTTGTAATGGCATTTGCAATGTAAAACATTCCGGATATTGTATGCATGCACAATTCAGTATCAATAGTTTCATTAAAGGAGCAAATTATGGTAGTCTTGGTACAAGCAGTGTCTTGAATATTTACACATTGATAAACAATATGAAATTAGCCTAAAATGTTTTGCTTTGTGTCTTATTTAATTTACATTCAATCCGTGCAACAGACATGATCTTGTGTAAAACAAGCTGTACATGTTTGAAGGCTGTTCAGTTATAAACTAATACATGTTATGATATAATTGAAGTTAATTAATTTCTATATTCAGTAACATTATAATTGATCTTTTATCAAGCTGTTGTTATGCTAGACAAATAAATATATCCGTAGTTGTATTTTCTCTTTTCTTTCATTAATTTAATTCGAAATCTACCACAACTATTGTACATGAAGAAAACACACCGTATTACCGGCGCCTGTAATGACAAATTGCTGCAGTAATGACAGAAATTTTTATGTATTGTCCAGGTCAAGCAAATATAACTGGCAAGACGAACTTGTTTGGTATGAGATAAAACACAACACTTAGGTTGAATGAAATAGGGCATTTATTAAATGCCATAAATGACAAATGTTACATAATAACAAACATTGACAAATGTTACATAATAACAAAACATGGCATGTACATATTTGTATCGAAATAACCAAACTGGGAGGTAAAAACCGCCAGATTATGATAACATTGTAATGTAATTCAAATAGATTACAATCTTAACAAAAGTTATGTAAGATGACAAAGTTTGAACCAAAAACCATCTACATAAATATAATAAAATGGATTGCTGATCAAAAACAATTGACCAGAAAAAATAAATATTTTCCAAAATCGTGGTCGACTCGCCCAGGAAAAAAAACCATAGTTTGGGAAAACCTGTGCCCTTTATCTTGTGTCTAGTACCACTTGATGTAGGCTCCATCCTTGGAAAATAGTTTAAACATTCTAATACATTAAAAAAGTGTATAACATATGACTAGATCATAAGTATTTAGTTGACAACAAATAGAAAAATATTTGAAAGAGATAATAAACATCGACTAGTTTTATAAATCTTTTGCATTGAACAATATACATAATTTATATTATAT